GAATCCAGCTGTAGAGAGGGAGCAAATCAGTCAAGACCGTGCTGGAGAAACCTACAGCAGCAGTTGACCTGACCTAGTGAGAGCACAGAGACCCTAGTCATAAAGCTGGGGAACCAGCATTAAACCGAACCAAGCCCTCTGAAAGTGGGTGCCAGTCAGGAGGCCTGGGCAGGCTATGGGACCTCTAACAGTGGAACCAGTATTTATTCCTACTACACAAATGGATTTTGGGAGCCCATTCCCTATGGAGGGTTACTATTTCAACCCAGATACAGGAAGGAAGGCCTAGGCCATCCTTAAATGATGTGACAGACTTTGACGATACCAGATGGAAGGCCTCACCATCCTTGGGGAGTGGGTGTGGGGTGGCTTGAGGGGGCTGGTAGGGGGGGCATGGGAGGATGGGAGGGAGAGGAAACAGGTGGGGGGATTGATATGTTAAATGATTGTAAATAAAAACAGGAAAAAAAAACCTCTTTACATTTGCTGTAAAAATTACTGAGCTCTTCATTGGAATTTCCCCTTTTGACTTTTCAGAAAAATTAAAGTTTAAAATGTACAAAAGTATGTAGAAGATCTTACATCATGCTTTTGAAAGCCTATGATAATATCTTTAGTAACAACAAATTTCTTACTGGTAACATGGCTAGCAAAGATTAATTTTTTTTTGCCAATAATTTCTTCCATGTTTGAACACATTCTTTTTGTTTATTTCTTTTTGTTTTTTGACATTTCTCACCGCGTAGCCCTGGATGTCTGAAAATATTCTAAGACCTTTAACTCTCACATACATTCTTAATTTTGTCTGTAAAAATTTCATTTCACATTGTTTATGCAAAACCCTTTTAGCTTGGCCGGTTCAGTTTTCGCTTTGTTTGAGATGTTACAGGGTCATACTTGGAAGACTTTTATTCCTCTGACCCATAATACATTATACATAGTATTTGAAGTGTTCCAAATATGTCATCACAATTGGCACAGTTGGGATTTCATTTTCTTGGAACAAATTCAAACTATGTACTTCATGCACACCCAGGGACTGCTTCTCAAGTTTCGCATGATCATGAGCAGTTTTTACTAAATTAGCATGTGATGCCATAGGTTGTGGGGACGTGTGTCCTGTATGAGGATGTATGAGCACTAGGTAGTGGCTGCCACTTTAACCAATGAGCTCTGGTGTGGTTTGTTTTACAGACTAGACAACAGATGAGGTATTTGGGTCGCTGAAGCAGAATAGGACTCACTAAACTCCATAACGTCACAGTGCAGGCTTCTGAGTCATGGGGCAGGCACAGGGTTTAAGAGTGACAAGGAAATAATAGCAAACTTGGGAAAAGAGCCTACTAAGCTGCTTTCACAAGGCCAGGAAAGTTGCGTTATGGTACATGCTGGTGAAGCAAATGGTCGAACCAGTGGAAACTGGGGAGGAAAAAAAAAAACAAACCTAATGAGCTTTTGGATTTGAGCAAGATTTCTCTACAGAATAGCAAATTGGCGGGCTGTCCGTGACCAACATGGGAACACTGTGTAACCATAGATAAGCCAGGGAGAAGTTCAGCAACTTACAAGCAGGATTTTTCAGGGGGTGTAGAGGAATCAGGTGACAATGGTGCCTGCCATCTCTACCCACGATTATTTGCAAAAAAAAAAAATATTACGAAAGTAACGTAAGTAGTAAGGAAAGATCTGGTTAAGAGCTGGCCAAGAACGCTTGTTAAGATGTGAGGTGTGTAGAACAGCCTTGTGCCACACAAAACCTCCAGGGAGGAGTTTTGGTTGGCCTGGCTCAAGGAAAGCAGCTGTGGTTAAGTGCAAGATCTGTTTTTGAAGGAATTCATGATGCGCGGGCACCTTACCAAAACATGCAGATATTTGCACAGGTCTTAAGTGCCGCTGGTCTGTGCTAGAGGCATAAGAGATTTGCTGGTTGGCGGGTTTCTGAGACAGGGTCTTCTCCTGGCTGGCCTCACGCTCGTGGTTGTTCTGTCTCAGTCTCTTGAGTGTTGGCATTGCCGGTGTGAGCCGCCACAGCCATTGGATTGGAGATGGTGTAAAAGGGCCTCTGGCACTATATTTTCCTTTGGGGAGAGAGGAAGCAGATAAGGTCACTTACAGAGAATACTGTCTTTCTTTCCCTTGCCTGTTCACGGGGGTTTTGATGAAACGATATTACACGTGGGTAGCGAACTCATAGAAACAGTGAGAAGAGGACAAATAAGCAATGAGTATGAAGGCTTGGCAAAAAAATCAAGAAAGGTAAAGATAATAGAGGGAAAGGGAGGGGGATGGGAGGGACGGAGGTTTGAGGTTTTAGTATGCTAGCACCGAGGTGTAAGCTGACTCTGATGGGCTCGCGTATCCATTGCTCTAGAAGATGGTGGCAAAATTGGAAAAAAAAAGAGGTGATTATAAAATTAAAGAGAGCAAGAAGTTCACTTATTAAATGGTAGTTTACAAGGCATGATGTGTGTTCTACAGAAATATTGATTTGTTGACATGTAAATGGAGAGATCAGTACAGTTGAAAACTGGAGGATAAGGAGACAGAGAGGAGACAGTCTTCAGTCCTGGGGGGGGATTCCAGCCTCCTTAGCCCAGAAGCTGAAGGAAGGACTCTGCACTTGCTTGTGGATAGACACAGATCCCTGGACGGAGTCCCGTAAAAGCCCAGATTTATTTCACTACTAAGTCACGAGGAAAGGGAGGATTGCTCAGTTTCTCTGTGCATAAATGTGTCACTCCCCTCACTTGAGATATTCAGTTCATAAAAGTACTGCATTTATTTATGCACTTAATCACTTCCCCGACACTTGATGGTAATTCCTCTCTGAGATATTGCCTGCTTTAGAGCCGAGACTGGAGTGCATCTGCTCCTTTGTCTATGAAACAGCTCCGTGTTCTGATCCCACGCTGTCCTTGTGCTCAGTCCCGTCAGGTTCTGAGACGGCGCCCAAGGCAGAGAGGAGTGGTGGTGTGAGAAGCTGCAGCGCCTGATCTTGCTCTTGGGCAAAGCTCTGGTATTGTAGGGGTCTCCTGTGCTGCACACATGTGGCCTGCGGTTTCTAAGATGTCTTAGCAACAGAAACCCTAAGACAGACACACTAACACGTTTCCCACTTCCTGAATTTTAGGAGTATCATGCTAAAGTCCATCTTGCTCAGTTTCAGTTCAATGACAGGAAAAATGTCCCCAAGGCTTTTATCAATGTACAACAACAACAACAACAACAACAACAACAACAACAACAACCACAAAACAGTTTTCATAGCACTGGGGAAAATAAGCCAAGGAGATGGGGAGAGAGAGAGAGAGAGAGAGAGAGAGAGAGAGAGAGAGAGAGAGAGAGAGAGAGAGAGAGAGAGAGAGAGAGAGAGAGAGAAAGAGAGAGAGAGAGAGAGAGAGAGAGAGAGAGAGAGAGAGAGAGAGAGAGAGAGAGAGAGAGAGAGAGAGAGAGAGAGAGAGAGAGAGAGAGAGAGAGAGAGAGAGAGAGAGAGAGAGAGAGAGAGAGAGAGAGAGAGAGAGAGAGAGAGAGAGAGAGAGAGAGAGAGAGAGAGAGAGAGAGAGAGAGAGAGAGAGAGAGAGAGAGAGAGAGAGAGAGAGAGAGAGAGAGAGAGAGAGAGAGAGAGAGAGAGAGAGAGAGAGAGAGAGAGAGAGAGAGAGAGAGAGAGAGAGAGAGAGAGAGAGAGAGAGAGAGAGAGAGAGAGAGAGAGAGAGAGAGAGAGAGAGAGAGAGAGAGAGAGAGAGAGAGAGAGAGAGAGAGAGAGAGAGAGAGAGAGAGAGAGAGAGAGAGAGAGAGAGAGAGAGAGAGAGAGAGAGAGAGAGAGAGAGAGAGAGAGAGAGAGAGAGAGAGAGAGAGAGAGAGAGAGAGAGAGAGAGAGAGAGAGAGAGAGAGAGAGAGAGAGAGAGAGAGAGAGAGAGAGAGAGAGAGAGAGAGAGAGAGAGAGAGAGAGAGAGAGAGAGAGAGAGAGAGAGAGAGGAGAAAGAGAGAGAGAGAGAGAGAGAGAGAGAGAGAGAGAGAGAGAGAGAGAGAGAGAGAGAGAGAGAGAGAGAGAGAGAGAGAGAGAGAGAGAGAGAGAGAGAGAGAGAGAGAGAGAGAGAGAGAGAGAGAGAGAGAGAGAGAGAGAGAGAGAGAGAGAGAGAGAGAGAGAGAGAGAGAGAGAGAGAGAGAGACAGAGAGAGAGAGAGAGAGAGAGAGAGAGAGAGAGAGAGAGAGAGAGAGAGAGAGAGAGAGAGAGAGAGAGAGAGAGAGAGAGAGAGAGAGAGAGAGAGAGAGAGAGAGAGAGAGAGAGAGAGAGAGAGAGAGAGAGAGAGAGAGAGAGAGAGAGAGAGAGAGAGAGAGAGAGAGAGAGAGAGAGAGAGAGAGAGAGAGAGAGAGAGAGAGAGAGAGAGAGAGAGACAGAGAGAGAGAGAGAGAGAGAGAGAGAGAGAGAGAGAGAGAGAGAGACAGAGAGAGAGAGAGAGAGAGAGAGAGAGAGAGAGAGAGAGAGCACTCAGCTTTTGAGTTATTTGGACTAATAATAGTCAATAAACAGAAGGAACACTCCAGTCAGGCTGTCAGAATAATCCAGGAAAGGAATAAAACCAAACCAAATGAGCTGTCAACTGCAGACCAACATTTCTCCAGAACACATGAAAGCATTGGTCCAATATGAAGACAGAACTTTTGTTTTTTTTTTTCAGAAAACAATACCTGACATCACACAGCAGTGTTCCATCACATTGTGGTGCCGACAGCAAGGATTTGCCAGGCCAAAAGATTCAACTGCCGACAGAGTTTAGGATAAAAATGCTACTGTGGTCTGGATTACATAATGGAATAAACACAACCAAGAAATATCTTTTAATCTTTGCGTGTAAGTGCAAGTGTATGGCATGCATGGATATGAACCTCTGAAAGGGGAAGTCTTTCTGTGTATATGTTTGTCTGATTATAAATAAAGCACTGTTGGCCAATAGGGAAACAAGATAGGTGGGACTAGGAGTCGAGGAGGATTCTGGGAAATGTAGTCAAGAGAGGGAGTCTCCATGTGATCCCGGGGGAAGAGAAGATGTATCAGGATGCCATCTTTGGAAAGGTAACTCCTTATAGAATTATATATATATATATATATATATATATATATATATGTAGTCATGGGATAATACTTTGGACATGTTATGTGCAAGAGGAAATGGGGCCAGTGACACGTAAGCTGTTATAGTAACGTGATCTCTTTTATAAACACCAGCTGATAAGGTCTGGGACCGCTGAAGTTCCATATTTACAGCAAATTACATTTTGGCTGGCTGTGCACGCCTTGCAGTCTCTTATGCAGTAAGAGTAAGCTGCGCAGTGTGTTTCTGCGTGGGGATGTGACTGCTGTTGCATTTTTGACCCACGTGGCGCGTGGGCTGCTTATGCTGCAGATGTATGAGTGAACTGATCCAAGAAGGATGCACACGGCTGCTTTCCTAGTCATGCTGGCGCTGGCTCCTTGGCCAAGCACCATTTAAAATTCCAGTGCCTCCACGTCTTAGTTCGCTTTTGGGAGAGTCCTGTTTACAATTAAGGAAAGCATTCATTGCGATGGTCCCAGGAAGACCATGATTAAATACTTGTTTGCTTTATAAACCAAGCCAAGTTATTGCAGAGTGAGCTTTCGTTAGGCTGTGCTTTTTATTTTTTTTCACAATCTGCCCAGCACTTGGGAGGCAGATGTGTTGTGTACTGTATTAAAGGTGTTGGTGCAGTGTTACTAAAAAACAGAGCACAAATGACAGTAAATAGTCTTATAGGAGTTTAGGAACCATCCATGTCTCCTAAAGGATAGTGATAAGGTTTGTGTTAAAAAGAAACAAAAGTGAAGATTGCTTACTGATAAAACAAAGCAGGAAGAATCCAGTTGTCCAAAGCTCACAGGTTAAAGGGGTTTGTTTGTTGGTTTGTGTGTATGTGTAGCCCCTTTAACAGAGTGTATAAGAAAAGCAGAGTTGCTAAAAGTCAAGCATTCTTCAACTTCTATTGGGCTCATCAGTCCAAAGAGGTGTGTGTTAGGCGGTAGATCAGTCTTGTCCAGAGTAGTGAAAGGCTGCTGAGCTTTTCATAAACACACGTGTTCATTGGTGAGGGAGTGGTTTGAGTCACCACGTAGATCTACCCACTGCTAGGCTTTGCGTCCTTACAACAAACACACATGATCTATATGCATGGCTTTGGAATGTGATCTGCAAGATTTGCTCAGCGGAGAAGCAAGGGGTAAAACAATGCACAGGTGAATTGTTACAACTGGGTTCAAAAAACGGACATATGTCAGATGGGCATGGAGAGGTCAAGACACATACATCACATGGGCATAGGGAGGTGAGCATGTGTAGACATCTAAGAAGAAGAGTAAGGGGAGAGAAGAAAATCATTTTACCGTTATGAGGTCATTTGCACAGTCCTCATGTCTAAGCACGTAGTGACTCTTCCAGCTGAAGAAATAAATCACTGAGGATGTAAGCCACATGAGCGGCTTTTGATCTTTCTCTCAGCCAAGCCCACTCCTCTGCGCTCTGTCTCATCCCTGTTCTCTGGTGTAAAAGAGACGCAGATTGCTGGGGGGGTCTTAAAGACCCTGCTAAAGGTCAGTGGGAATGTGCCTGCCTTGCATGCAACAGGATCGGATCCCCAGAACCGCAGGGCGGGGGCCGGGTAGGGAGAGAGAGAGAAAGGAGAGGAACATTTTAAAATTCTTCAGATAAAACTATCCCTTTCAGGGTTCTGCCCGGAGTGGAGGAGTTTGCAAAGATGCAACTTTTTAGTGTCAAAGTCTATCATAGGTGCTGGGAGTTCTTGATTACAAGGAGGTGCTTTTCTCAGTCCAGGGTCATCGAGGAATGAATGGCTCCTTGCTTAAAGCCTTGGAAGCTTTTGAGCTGAGATTTTATGACACAGGTTATTTTTCATATTATATGTGCATGGGTGTGCACATGTGCATGCATGTGTGCATATATGTGTGTGTGTGTTATACTTTTAAAGTGAATACATTAAGCAAGTATTGCTTAAAGTTTTTTTGTTTTTTTTTTTGGTTTTTACGAGACAAGGTTTCTCCGTATTGTTTTGGAGGCTATCGGTCCAGCCCGGCCTCGAACTCACAGAGATCCGCCTGCCTCTGCCTCCCGAGTGCTGGGATTAAAGGCGTGCGCCACCACTGCCCAGCTTGCTTAAAGTTTTAATTGAACCAAAGCCGTTATTTATTTTAAAAATGTGTAGATTGTGCTTGCTGGGTTATGATCTTCTCTAAGGTGCAAAGGATGATCTACAACAGCCAAACTTTAAGTTTTGAATGAGAATATTAAATACATGACAAGCCAAGGAGAAAATAAATAGTAAGTACATAGATGATAGATAGATGGTAGACGTAGATGATAAAAAATGATCAGACAGGTGATAGATAGATTATGGATAACAAAACACCATCAATTTGTGCTCTGTAAACACCCAGCAGCTGGCCGGTCGTGGCGCACGCCTTTAATCCCAGCACTCAGGAGGCAGAGGCAGGAGGATCTCTGTGAGTTCGAGACCAGCCTGGTCTACAAGAGCGAGTCCCAGGACAGCCTCCAAAGCCACAGAGAAACCCTGTCTCGAAAAACCAAACCAACTGACCAAAGGAACAAACAAGAAAACATTCAGCAGAAATTAACTAGGGAGACCCCTCAAGGCAGCTTGCCTCAGTTTCCCACAGAGTCCTGGGCAGAGCAGTCTTGCCTAAGGCTTCCAAGTGAAACAACAAATATCAGTAGATGCGAAAACATCATCAAATTCACTGCTTATGGCAGCCGGCAAAAACCAAATGGGGAGGTTGACTCGGGGTGGACTTCGCAGTTCCTCGTGGCTGAGCATCCATGGCTGCGCTTCAGCTTCCCTTTCCCACGTCTGAATTGTGGGGTCAAGGGTGGCAACACCTGCTGGAGATGGTTGATGCTTAGCCGACACAGAGTTTCCCTCATCCTAACTTTAAGAAATGACTCCTAGCCCTGTTTTTGGATACTCGCGTGCACATCCGGTGTGTGAGGAAATGACGTGATTTTGCTTTCATGCTTTTCTTTTCATTAGTGGACAGGCACATTTCTTACTTTTAGTGTTTTTCCCCAAAGCCAGTAAACTGGCAGATGTAGACAAAAAACATTTGGCACATATATATGTCTTAGCCTTAAAAAAAAATCAACAAAGTTTGCTATGCTTTTCTCTTTCTTAATTTTGAGTGTGTGTGTGTGTGTGTGTGTGTGTGTGTGTGTGTGTGTGTGTGTGTCCAGACTGACAGCTGGGAAACCAGCATAGGACTAATTCAGGCCCCCTGAACGTGAGTGTCAGTTAGGAGGCCTGTGCAGTCTATGGGGCCTCTGGTAGCGGATCAGTATTTATTCCTAGTGTATGAACGAACTTAGGGAGCCCACCCTCTATAGAGGGATATTCTGTCAGCCTAGACACAAGTGCAGAGGGCCTAGGCCCCACCCCAAATGATGTGACAGACTTTGATGATCCCCCATGGGAGGCCTCACCCTCCTGGGGAGCAGAAACAGGATGGGATGGAGGGGTCAGTGGGGGGCATGGGAGGATGGGAGGGAGAGGGAACTGGGATTGAGACGTAAAATAAGATTGTTTCTAATTTAAATTAAATTAAAGAAAGAAAATCAGAGCTTAAGCTAGGCAGTCTTGTTTTAGACCATGTAGCTTATTTATTACCCTAATTTCTGTCTAGGAACTGTAAATTGGTCTCTAGCTCTATAGGCAAGTGGAATTTGTCAAGTTTTTTTTTTTTTTTTTACCATAACTGCTGGGCAAATCTCAAATGTCTAGAGTTCATTCCTCCATGTATCCTCCTGGATGTGTTTATGTTTCTCTAGAGCCTGAAAGATTTTGTCCTGACCCTCTGAAATGCTGGCTTAGTAGTCATGAATTCCTTTAGCCTCCTCTCATCATGGAAAATTTCCTTTTCCATTTGGTTCTGAAAGACAGTCACAGTCTTTCAACTGAGAACGCACCCTTCCCTTGCTGCTACCCCTTTAAAGTTCCTGTGGGTCAGTCAGTTGCAGATCCTTTAGTATAGCTCGGCCTGCCTTTACTGTAACCTGGTCCGTTCTCTTGTCGCATTTACTGTGTTCCTTTGGTGTTTATTTAGTAATTTACCTACACGATGCAGGAAACTTTCCATCTTAATGTAAAATTTATTATGACTCTGTCTATTTGGGGACTCCTGAACCTAACCGGACATTTCTTTCCTTGGACTTAGGAAATTTCTGTTATAATCTTACTGAAAATGTGTTTTACACCTTCAGCATCAGTTTTTCTTCCATATGTATAAAATTTGTAGGTTTGGTGTTTTCATAGTGTTCCCCAGACCTCGCATGTCCCATAGTACTTTAAAAACATAGTTTCTTTTCATCTACTCCCTTTCTCCCTTTCTCTAGGGCCTGATTGATGCTCTGTTCTCCTCACATGGTCTATGAGTCAGACTTTCCACTATTTCAGCTTGTCTGGGTCTTTTTCACAATTTCTATATCCCTATTGAATTGTATTTTCATAATATGTATCAGCTTGCAAATTTTTATCCATGTGATTGTGGTCTCTTGGAATTCATTTAGTATTATATTTTCGTGTTCTTTGATTTCTCTCAAATTTCTCTCAGTGTGTTAATAATTACTATTTTGAATTCTTTGTCCCAAATTTCATATAATCTATATTTAGTTATCACTATTGAACTTCTCATCTTTTCAGGAGTCATCTTGCTTCTTATCCCATGGACTCATTTTGCGTTTGGAGGCCTTTATTTTCCTCATCTAAAATAATAATTATTATTCCTGTTATTTATTTAAACTTTATCTTTTGTCTTGTCTTAACAAACACCTTTCTAAGTTCATTTATTTTCTGAACTCACAGATTAGAGTTATATTTTGTTTTGTTAGCTGGTCTAAACTTACTAGTAGATGTAAAACATTTTCTTTAAAATTTTTTTGTTTTTTTATATGTGGATATAATGTGTTTTGATCACATTCATCCTCTGTTTTTTTTGTTGTTGTTGTTGTTTTGTTTTTTGTTTTTTTAAACCCAATG